CTCACATTCATAGAATGTTTTTATGACATTATAGTTATGTTCTCAAAAGAATATTATACCAATATGCTTGAAATATTCTTAGAATATATCTACATATATCAGTCTCAATATGCATCCTAGACATTCTTGTTTGATTCTAGGGATATACTTGGAATGCTAATTTTCGCATCCCAATTATTCTTCTTTCCGTCCTTCTATATTAAAGGCAGTGAAAGAGTTGTTGGGAAATTTCTCTGGAAAACACAAGTGTTTAACCAAAGCTCCGGTTTCGAGCTTGTTATGCTCTCGTCGCGGTAAGCTCGACAACCGAGAGAAACAGGTTCCAAGGAGATTCAAACGATAGGCAAGATGTAGATCTTTAATAGCATGTGGCTCCCTCTCTTGGAAGTCCCACAAAGCAAAAGAAAAAGAATATACCTATAATATTTTTAGTAGGTTCTAGATAGAGCATTATTGTTTAATTGTTCAATTGAGATTCTTGAGTAGGTACTTTAGATAATTAGGTGAACAATATGGAAATATTCTTATCATGGGTACCTACCTACATAAACTTCTCAGCACATCTTGGTAGGCTATTCTTAATACTTGATAGAGATATTAGCCGAAAGAAAATTTTTTAGGGTACATTACTATAATGTTCGTATGTCAATATTCAAATAATGTTATATAAAGTAGGTTCTTAGCACAATCTTTCAGGTAGGTGCATAGAAGCAACATTCCTAGCACATAAATAGAACGTCCAAAAATGAATATTTCAATCGAAACAATCTTAGAATATTCATTAAACATTCCTAAAAGAACATTCCAAAAAGTACTTTGAGGGAATATTCTGAGAATATGAATGTTCTTTCACTGTTATGTGTGTTTTATCCGATTCAAGATCCTGTTTGCAGGCCATAGATAATAGCACTGAAAACATATATAAAAATCCCTTAGTTTTTGAAATATGTCGGAAATTAACTAATCTAGTCCAACAAAATATTCAAATTTTATTTGTTTGGTGCAAGGGTCATAGTGGGGTTATCGGCAATGAAAACGTAGATATATATGCTAAAGAAGCCATTCATAGTGACAATTTTATAGTTAACTTACAATTTTATGATGTTTTCCCAATTATCAAAGAAACAAAATTACACTGATTATGCAATGAATAACATTAATAGATATACACGTACAGGGTGGCCCGTTTAAGAGGGGCCTATACCTTATCTCGAAATCTACAAGGGCTGTGAAAAAAATGTAAATACAAAAGTTGTTCCTAATAAAATTATCTACAACTTTTTTGTATTTTTTTTGTTGTCACTTTACTATATACAGGGTGGACAAATGAAATTAAATTTTTTTAAATAGAACACCTTATATTTCAATACATTTGTAAATAGACCTTTGAAAGACAAATTCAACGATATACTGGGCATGTGTCTGTGATAACCCGTTTCGAACTTATTAGCGATTATCTTCATGGATTTGGGGTAATTTTCAACAGTCATTATTACGTGACTCATAAACTTTTAAAACTTTTTTTTGCATGATATTTTCTATAAAATAATGCTCTTCTTTAGACTATATTCAAATTTGAAATATTTGCTTTAAAAACGCGGTGTTGCCACGTTTCGCAAAATGTTACGCTTTTCAATTTTTTTAAATGGGACCTCCTGTTAATTTTCGAGTTTTTGGATAGCCCTTTAAAAGACAAATTCAACGATATACTGGAAATGGGTCTGTGATGCACCGTTTCGGCCTGATTAACAATTATCTTCAGTTCTAGCACAATATTTCATTTGTCCAAGTCGCCTGGTGAATAACAAACATATGTCTATTTTCCTTCAACCATCTATTAACGTGGTTTATTGATGTATAGAAATTGTTCAATAATGCCACCATTAATGCATAAAAAGCACTATTTTAGCTAATCTACTACAAAATTAGAATTTTTTTTCATTCAACAGGGATGACATGAGATATTGTGCTAGATCTGAAGATAAACGCCAATCAGGTCGAAACGGTGCATCACAGATCCATGTCTAGTATATCGTTAAATTTTTCTTTTAAAAGGCTATCTAAAAACTCGAAAATTTACAGGACGTCCCATTTAAAAAAATTGAAAAGCGTAACATTTTGCGGAACGTGGCAACACCGCGTTTTTAAAGCAAATATTTCAAATTTGAATATAGTTTAAAGAAGAGCATTATTTTATAGAAAATATCATGCAGAAAAAAGTTTAAAAAGTTTATGAGTAACGTAACAATGACTGTTGAAAATTACGCCAAATCCTGAAGATAGTTGCTAATAAGTTCGAAACGGTATATCACAGACACATGACCAGTATACCGTTGAATTTGTCTTTCAAAGAGCTATTTAAAAATGTATTAAAATATAGGGTGTTCCGTTTAAAAAAATGCAATTTCATTTGTTCACCCTGTATATAGTAGAGTGACACCAAAAATAATACAAAAAAGTTGTAGATAATTTTATTAGAAACAACTTTTGTACTTAAATTTTTTTTTAAGCCCTTGTAGTTTTCGAGATAAGGTATAGGCCCCTCTTAAACGGGCCACCCTGTACATACCCAATTTTAGTACCAAAACCTTCTATCCAATTTAATGATTAAAATATAAATTCTTATGTAACCCTTTTTAAGGCCATAACTGGACATCGTAACATTAATTACCTTCTTCATAAAATGAAACTCTCCGATACCAATATATGTAATTGTAGTAATCCCAGTATTGACGATCTAGAACACTGGTTTTTTGAATGTGGACATAATAAAAATGCTTCCAAGTATATAATGGACGAACTGGCTAAATTACGTTTGCTACCCATCAATTTTAGTTCTTTAATGTACATCATTAGATATTATAAAAAAGTTTATGATTTATTTATTAATTTCGTGAAAATGTGTGTGAGAAAGCTTTAGGGACTTGTTATCCTTTGGTAGGTACTGATCCTTATATGTTGTCCTTTTTACCTGGCCGATTACCCCTGTTTGTGTAAATAAAGTCGCCTAGATAGACCTTATGGCGTGAAGTGAGTCCTGTGACCCTGTCTTTTATGTTTTGATAATTTTTTTTCAAGAATCTTCTTTTTAATATAATACATATAGATGAGTATGAATGAGAATACATGATAAATTGAATTTCTATTATTATTTTTATTTTTATTTGCAACACATAATTACATACATCATAGTTTACATAAATATTGTATTAAGTTAATTGTAGTGGGTGTATGCACTATGTGCAAAGCCAATCAAAAAAAAAAGCCTCCGTAATAACGACTTTTTATAGTAAACGTAGTGTGCCCATTGAATTCCCACATAACAGTGAAAGAACATTCATATTCTCAGAATATTCCCTCAAAGTGCTTTTTGGAATGTTGTTTTAGGAATGTTCAATGAATATTCTAAGATTGTTTCGATTAAAATAATCATTTTTGAACGTTCTATTTATGTACTAGGAATGTTGCTTCTATGCACCTACCTGAAAGATTGTGCTAAGAACCTACTTTATATAACATGATTCGAATATTCTCATACGAACAATATTATAATGTACCCTAAAAACTGTTCTTTCGGCTAATATCTCTATCAAGTATTAAGAATATACCTACCAAGTTGTGCTGAGAAGTTAATGTAGGTAGGTACCCATGATAAGAATATTTCCATATTGTTCACCTAATTATCTAAAGTACCTACTCAAAAACCTAATTGAACAATTAAACAATAATGCTCTATCTAGAACCTACTAAGAATATTATAGGTATATTCTTTTTCTTTTGCTTTGTACGACTTCCAAGAGAGGGAGCCACGCGCTATTAAAGATCTACATCTTGCCTCGCGTTTGAATCACCTTGGAACCTGTTTCTCTCAGTTAGCATGCTGCGACGAGAGCATAACAAGATCGAAACCGGACCTTTGGTTAAACACTTGTGTTTTCCAGAGAAATTTTCCAACAATTCTTTCACTGCCTTTAATATAAAAGGACTGAAAGGAGCATTATTTGGAAAAGAAAATTGACATTCCAAGTATATCCTTAGAATCAAAACAAGAATGTTATGTCTAGGATACATATTGAGAATGATATATGTACATATATTCTAAGAATATTTCAAGCATATTGGTATAATATTCTTTTGAGAACATAACTATAATGTCATAGAAACATTCTTTGAATATGAGAATATACATTTCGAGCATATTTTTAGAATCAAACAGGAATATTCTTTTCAGGATGTACTGAGAATCTCATAGGTATATTGTAGGAATATCCTAATGGATTTCCCAGGAAGTTCTTGGGTATTGCAAACAGTATTTCTACAATCTTTTCTCAGAACATTCTCAGGACATTCGCAATGGTTTTTGGCGAACATTCTAGGCACATTCCTCCTAAAAAAAGAACATTCTTAATACATTCTAAGGATGCAATTTTGTTATGTGGGTTTGTTATCCCTTCGGAGTGGAACATGAACTATTATTTATTTTGTAATATTTTTCGGATAAGATTAGCAACTCAGCAAAGCACTGGAATCCTAAATATCATTGAATAAAATCAGGTCGTGATTATAATGCGATTCAAACATGAACTTTATGGATAAAAATAAACTGCTGATACTAATATATTCATCAATAATCAAAAAACCATTAGGACATGGGCGCCGCTAGATAGCATGAGTTACGATGAAAAATTCGCAGGCCAAAATTGTCAGGTTTGTGACTATATAGTTCATCAAAAACTAAATCCGTTGCATGCATTAATAATTACAACTGCGTTTATAATTAATTTGCTGGTGGAACGGATTTAGTTTTGGATAAACTATATAACTTCCGCTCCGCCAGCTAGGTTGTTTCAAATTTAAAAATATTCAGGTTTTTCGATAATTCAATACTCTAATGTTTTTATAATTTTTTGTGTTTTTTCAATTCCTAAAAGTTCACGAGATAGTTATTAGGTTTGTTCCAGCAAAAAGTTGGAAACATGTTGGTGACATTAACCTAACAGTTAAATTTGTTAGTGACAGATGTTTTCAAGTTGGCAACAAATTTCTGCTGGAACGAAAATGTTTGACATTTCCAATTTGCCACTCAAAATTTGAAAGATAAATAAAAAAAAAAAAAAAACAGTTAATGATGCAGGGTATTTTAAGAGGTAATTGGTTATTTTTTAGTGTGTATTTCAAATAGAGTTTGGAATTAATTTTAGAGGTGCAAGGATTCGTTGTCCTACCCAACAAATCAGTGGGCAACGGTGACTCGAATGTCCAGTTATCAGATATTTCCAAAGATATCTTACAACTCCAGAATGTGGTACAGAGCCAGCTTGAAGGTTATACATCTTGGTCAACAAATGTAACAAAGCGTCTAATTGCTCTTTACAAAATCACACCACACCCAAATAGGAATAAAAATTACGAAACAAAAGAAGTTATGGGAAATCATAGCGGAAATTTTGAATAAGGAGTTCCATCTAAAACTAACAGCTTCTCAGGTGGAAAATAAGTGGAGAACTCTCTTGAGGGCATACAAAAACGTGACTGACAATAACAATAAAACAGGCAGAGGTAGAAAAGTTTTTCAATATCAGGAGGAAATGGATATCATTTTTTGTAAAAAAAAGAATATAAATCCAGAGGTACTGTTAAGCAATGAAACCATTGTTGCTATACCTGAAAGTATTACTTCTACAACCCAGAATAAAAAAGATGAACATAATTCGGAAAGCCCTTTGAGTTCAAGAATGGAATTTGTTTCTGATACACCTACACATTCTGAAATGCCCATGAAAAACAGTGATTTAGAGCAAAGAAGCATAAAAATAAAAAGAATTGTGTCCAGGAACGATGTTCTCGAAAAAATTAGATTAGACAGACAAAAGCAACACGAACAGATAGTAAGGAAAATAGAGGAGCGAATACAATTGCAAAAGCAAAAATTGACTGAACGTAAATGGCAAAATTATATACAGGAAGAGAGGAACACTATTCTTCGAAAGTATCTTGAAAATAGTTATAATAATATATGTGGTTGAAAATGTAGGTAGAATACTGGTAGAATATTTAGTTATTTGAATTTTTTTTTTTTTTTTGCAAGTATTTTTTCGATATTAGTTTTTTTGCGTAGTAGGCATTTCCAATTACCCACGTTTAACTTTGCGTTTGCGAATAAAATTTTTATTATATGTTTGATTTTTTTTATTAATACATATAAGCTATAAAGGTTATCACCCAAATACACAGTCAAACTGAAAATCAATGATAATAATTAATAATAATAATAAATGTTGGAAACGAATAAAGGCTATAGATTCAAGAAAGTAGGATATTACAAATTTAAAGTCCGAAGTAAGTAATTTCTATAAGCAGCTCCTTCTGGAATATCTCTTTCTAAATCTTCTTCATTCAATTCAGGATTATCTTGGTTATGCTCTTGTTCATTTTCATTCACTTCCACATCATCAGGGAATTCATCCTCTAGTGCCATATTGTGTAGCACACAGCAAGCCCTTATAAAATTTACAATATCATTCATGATTCTTAGTTTGCAATGGTACAGTTGGCGGAATTTCTGTTTCAGGAGGCCAAAACAGTGTTCAACAATATATCGGCAGCTTGATAGTCTTTGATTAAAAAGTCTTTGTCGACGTGTTAAATTACCGTGATCCCTAAATGGGGAAATTAGATGACGTGAACAACCATATGCACTATCACCCAAGATGAAATAATCGCCACACTTGTTAGGTATTCATTGAAAAGAGGAGATCTTCTGAAAACTCTTGAATCATGCATTGACCCAGGGAAGCCAACAAAAAGGCTTCGAATTTTTTTTTGGTGATCACACACCAGTTGTAGCTGGAACAAAAACATATTATACTGTAGATATGTACATGTTCCTACATATTTTAATCGTATTTTCGGCCTTACCTGCATAGAAAAATATTTCTTGTGGTTGTAGTATGAATCTGGATCTTGCGTTGGCTTGTCAATTCGAATATGGGAGCCATCAATAGCCCCTATGACTCCAGGGAAATTTTTTTCTCGAAAAAACCTTTCAATTTCTTGTTTTTCTTGAAAATCTGGCTGCTTAGGAAATAGATGAGCCTCCTAATGATTCTAAACAAACTACTTATAGAGATACAAAATCGGTCTGATACGTCTCTAAAGGAAGCAGCCTCATGTCCTACAAACCATAAAAATATGAGAACTTGATGCTCGGAACTGATATGATAATTTCCCCCTGACTGGGGATTGAATAAATTGCTTCGCTCATAATGTTCTGCAATAGTATTTGCAACATGTCGGCTTATTCGGAAATGTTCAATGAATTCCGATTCACTAAAATGTTGGACTGTCTCTTGGATATAATTTTTATTCTTTGGCCGCTCCCGGTTTTCAAACATTTCGAGCTTTAAATCATCGTCTAAATTTTCCAAATCCATGTCACTATTGTCACTATCAGATGAGCTATCATCATAATCCAATTCATCAAACAAATCCATTACCATTCACCACAGCGGTACAAATACGAACTCAAGAATAGACTGAAATATAACTCAATTTAAATTTATGCACCTGAAAATCTGACAAAATTTTACGACATGACAGAAAAACATAACACACAACAAATTTAAAACCGAAAAGTTAGGTTAGGAGTTAAAATGTTTGAAGAAAATCGACAAGCATTGTGAGCAGTTGCTAACAAGCTATAAATGTTCCGAACATCTGCTGAAATAGCTGACATTTGCAAATTGTCACTAACATTTCTTTGCTGGAACACAAATTTGTCATTGCGCATGTCACAAGCTGCTGCCAACATTTCTGATAGCCTGCTGGAATACCGGGTGTTTTTCAAAACCCGCTCACCCCTATAACTTTTTTATTTTTCCAAATAAACAAATGAAATTTTGTGTGTTCATTTATGGCCCGGATGTGCATTATTTGACGTATTCAATTTTTTATTATCACTTCCGGTTTGACCGGAAGTGATCGTAACTTTCTCATTTTAAATGAGACGCCAGGTATATTTTCCCATATTTCAATAGAAAACTACATTACGAGTACAATGACACCTCATTTGTCACTTTTTGACATTTCATCTCCAAATTATTTAAATTTTTACTTTTTTATCTAGAGCGCTATGAATTAGTTAAAATGCTTAATTTTCCTCTAAGGAAGCTGGGAAAATTTGTTTTGATCTTATTTTGTATTTTATATCCTCAACAGACTCATTTAAAGATAGTAGAAGCGCATTTTTCGAATTATATCAATTTTTTCAAATGGAAAGGATATGGCTCATTAGCATTTTCCGAGAGAGCATTTTCTAACGAACAAACTAGTACCACACAATCGCTAGTTTATTCCAGTATTGAACTAAAATTTTCCAAAAATATTTAGAATGCTAGGAAAATTCTTCATTTGAGTGATGAACTAGCGATTGTGGGGTACTGAATTGCTCGTTAGAAAACGCTCTTTTGGAATATTGTAATGAGCCACACCCTTTCCATTTGAAAAAATTGAGATAATTACAAAAATGCACTTCTATTATTTTGTAATGACTCTGTAGAGGATATAAAATACAAAATAAGATCAAAACAAATTTTCCCAGGTTCCTTGGAGCAAAATTAAACATTTTAACTAATTCATGGCGCTCTAGATTAAAAAGTTAAAATTTAAATAGTTTGGAGATGAAATGTCAAAAAGTGACAAATGAAGTGTCATTGTACTCGTAATGTAGTTTTCTATTGAAATGAGGAAAAATATACCTGGCGTCTCATTTAAAATAAGAAAGTTCTGGTCACTTCCGGTGAAACCGGAAGTGATAATAAATAATTGAATACGTCAAATAATGCACATCCGGGTCATAAATAAACACACCAAATTTCATTTGTTTATTTGGAAAAATAAAAAAGTTAGAGGGGATAGCGGGTTTTGAAAAACACCCGGTATATTTGGGTCGTCAGGGCGTTAAACGCGATTTATGACCGATATACCTATATGATTTTTAGTTTCAATTTTTAAATAAATCAATTTCGTTGACTTCTTTGTTTTAAAAATGACAGTGGTAGTTCTTGCAATTGCGAAATGATAGCAATTATGAGAATTAATTATTGAGAAACGCTTCTTATTATAAACAAGTGCACTTGAGCTTAACAACCAAATCAACAATTTATTTTGGTCAACATTTTTTCCAGCCGTTTATTCTGGTTTTCCGAGGCTTACTCCCAGAAAGAGCTGGAAGCTGACAGAATTTATACACCCACATAGCCTCACAATGTTTTATATTCGAATACCGGGGGAGGGCAAGATCAGCGCGTATAGACTGCAACTGAGAGCCGCCAACCATAGAAGGATGGAGAAGTTTTGAACCATGAAGATGAACCCCATGTCAAAGCGATATTGCCTCAACGGAACATTCGAGATAATCATGTCAACCAGAACTGAATGAAAAAAACTTCCAGACACTGGTAATAAAACATAATATGTCCACTCTGCCAGACATTAGGTAATGTCTCTATAACTCCATATTAAAAGCAATGCAGTATGTTATGCTCCAGTGTGCAGTAACAAACGGGAGGGCCAGTGTCAACCGGCATATCCTGATGATATCTGACAGTCAAGGGGCACTAAAGGTACTGTCGGGCTAGGAAGTGTAGTCAAGATTTTTATGAGAGTCTCACTAAGAATAGAAGACGGTGGCGGATAATCAGAATGAGATAGAAGTAATCTGGGAGCCAGGATATAGGACATAGGCGAATCGACGGTAAGAAGAAGGAGACACCTTCTAGGTAAAGGCATGACATGGAAGTTATTGGTTAGCCCTGCAGCAAAAGGGCCGAAAAACTGCTACAAATAAGCAGGGCCTTATGACTGGTCATGCACCAGTAATAAAAATCCACCTGAACGGGATGGGCTTTTATGACGGCGATCTTAACTGCCAAACTTTGCAAAAAGGAACGAGAAGCAGCCAGAGACATCCTACCAACTGTGAGGCAAACAGAGCAGCGACCCCGTATTTTTTTCCGACATGAATTGAAAACTTTTTCTCGATAATTTAATAATGTGACACAATAGGAAGTAGTATGTAGTTCAACCATGAATTACGTGATGAAACATAAGCACACGCGTAGTAACAAGAAAGTTGTTAATCACAAGTTCCTCAAACAGAATTTTCAAGTGAATAAATCTTTTGAATTTTTGAAAATTTTCAATTTCGACAAAATATATTCTCACATCCATCTAACAATATATTAAAATTCCAGGTGGCACAGGGCACACAAGAATATAAAAAGAAAAGCTGATCGATTTTTCAGAGAAATAACACCGCTCTCGGCGTCCCCCCTGTTGGCATGGTGATCCTTTTAGTATTAATAAAGCACAACCTGCGTCTGCAGAATTCCGTAAACCGTAAAAGTTTTATGGAACCAAAAGGGAAATCAAAATTAGACCAAGCCTGGAGTATGGTTTTATTTGCATCGTGTTTTTATGCTGAACACTTATAGTTGTCCCTTTCACATGTCGGTAAATTTCCAATTCAGGATAGTTTTTCAACACATTGATGTCTCTTTTATGCTGCTATGGCTGGCGACATGGTCAATGCATGTGCGCCTGCAGCAGACAGAAATTTTAATTTTTAGTTATTCACGTACATATGCCTCTCATTGTTATCGCAGGGGTAGAAAATCACCGCCATTTGTCGCTAAACGGGCAAAAACATATCTAATTATTACTGTTTCACAGGGGCTCTAGCCGACTAGACCCGCTTGAAGCTATCTAACTTTTTATCAAGTTAACCAGTCTATATAGCTTTGTTTTTGTTTCAATTAAAATCACTTCGTAGAGAATAGAGGAAAGTAGGAACTAATTTACTTGACACGTACCCTAAATGTATTTTATCAAAATAAGGGAGGATTAAATATTTTTATCTTCAATTGGTCTATAATATCATCTTTATTGTCGTCAACCCTTGAAAGAGAAGTGATCAATTATGTTCCTAGGACCATAATGATTTTTATGAATGGCGTAATTTCTTAGT